ACTACATGCTACCTTAAATATCGCACAAACAGTCCATAACGCGAAAACAACAGAATAAAAAAATTAAACTGCAGTACCAAGGTCAATCACCAGGGGCTCAAAGTCAACCTACACAATCTCCAAGGCCCCATCCATCAATCTGCCAAATATCGTACAGTTCCTTCTCACCGATCTTCAGATATCAGACCAAACATGAAACGGAGTAAAAACAGTACCCCCATTTTCATGGAGGGTAATCAGCGAAATAGAATACAAAACTGAAACAACAGTACATGACGTTTTCCTTTGTAAAAAAAAGCGCGATAACGGATAAGTCATTTCGGTAGCGGCCAAGCCAAGAGAGTCCAATATGTACCATGGTTATACCAACCTGTTTGGTTATACCAAGGACATTATACACTTGGTTATACTGCAGTACCCAGTAAGCAAGACATTAACCAATAGGCTACCATAGAAAGGCCAATCTCTGCGCGGAACTGGGAGCATTTGCCTCTCTACATCTGCTTGGAGATTAAGTGGTATCTCCAAAAGTGTATTGAGCACGGCGTGATCCCACAGACCATCAGTGAGCGCCACAGGCAAGTCTGAAAACTCTCCCCAGGACCTCCCCTTATCTCACGTCTGCTTGATGATCCTTTACCCCGGACGTCTTCTACATCTGTGCTATTAATGAAATGAGATGTAAACAAACAAAACGGCATCTCCCCAATCCCATTTCACTCGCTGTCTGGTCCTGACGACCACCCCTGTAGAATCCCATGTTATGTTTATTTAGATTTCTGTAATTAGGTGGGCTTTTGGCTGTTGAAAGTAAATTTTAAACGGACGGGGGTCGCCAAACGACACAAAATGGCTGTTATTTCTGTGATGCGTCTTGTCCGAGTGTGGCCATTCTTACTTTTATCACGGGCATTATATAGAGTGTCCTTGCTTTTTTTTTAAAGAAAAGTAACCACACGATTATATTAAAAAAAACTTCACACGGGACCCCCAATCATCCAAGGAGCTTCTAGAAGCTCCTTGTATCATCGAAGTAAATAAGTGTATAGACAATGTTCTGAGCCTAACATCAAAATTAACTCAGCACTCGTTCTTGTTTGTCCTTTTCAACTGCACTGCAGGTTTTGAACTCTAAGAGTTGAGAATGAACGGCACTAGTAGTTTCAAGACAGCCTCTACCAGGCTCCGCGGATCGCTGGAAATGTAGATTGGCCGTAAAGGGAGTACCAGAGACGATCCAGGGCCATAGAAGGTCCAATTTGCGACCCAAATGCCTGGTAGAGGCTAGTTTCAAGATCAGACCTCACTAGGCAGTAGGCCCTATTATAATTCCATCGTTTCACGCATCCAAACAAAAATAAATAGTTTTAATTGATTCTTTTGTTTCCCAGCACATTATCTATTACAGTCCTAACTGAAGACCTTCTGTGGTATACATTACTGTTTGATTACAAAGCGGTTTGTTTTGGTTGTGGGCGCCGGCGGGGCTGGCCAGTTTTGATAGCCAAATGCTAGTTCCACGCCCAACATCTGTATTCTGAGTTTCTGACAAGTTTTACGTTAGTCGCAAACTACGAACATTCTTGCAACAGTCTTGCATGTGCACCGAAAACGTCTGCTGTCTTGTTACCAATACGGGAAAGTCATCCTTGTTGGTGGTTAGGTCTGTCCAAGGAGATTTGAACGGATGGATGTCCGTCCTTTTGCAGGCTGAATGGATAGTAGAAATCTGCCTAAAAAGGGGATATAATTGGTCAGAGAAGGTGGCCGGCCAGAGAAGCTCCATTTTGCCTGTTTAAAGATTCTACGGCATCAAAATCGTGCGACTGTCGACGTCTACGATGCATGTGATCGCGCCTTACATGTATTTCAGGAGCAAAAATTCTGTGAAAACCGCCACATCAGTAACAAAGTTGCAAAAATATGACCTTTGTTAAAGATCTTTTTTCAAACTCATTTATCAACAAGCCCACTTCAGTACGTTGCACTTCTCTGCGAACAGCCTCATTTCATGTTCGCGACGACTCCCAAACCGTCAGTGATAGTGTGTTGTTTGACGATGAGCTGTCGATATTTTCACCTACGGTATAAGCAGATGCGTCCTTCATGGCAATGACTGTGTCTGGATTCTTGGCGCCAGCGGGGCTAGCGCGTTTATCGTTTGATCATGACGTCACGTATGTTGCATTTATGTGCGAGAGAAAATCCCACCTTGCAGATTCGCACTTTTGTTTGAGTCATGTACCTTTAAGTCCTTGCTTAGTCCATGGAGGTACAAATTTTTTTTCTACCTCCATGCGTAGTCTAAGGAGGAAAGTTTGAACAATTATTTTATCACAAAACGATGTTCAAAATAAAGGCTGCTAGGTCTCTCACCAGAATGATTGGCAAAAGGCCACAAAACCGAGGACTAGATAATGACCACCACAGTGACCACACTGTAATACCAAGGAGGGATACCTGGAGAAAATAGAGGAACGGATAAAATCAGCTTTTTACTAGCCTCCTGTGCAGGCCTCTGGGCGGGTGGAAGTTTTGATATTGCGTTTTGTACTGTATAGTTTTTAACGCGTTCTTTTAATTGCCGGCCATCCTACAGGCGGGTACAAACCTTCTCTCGGCGGCTGGTTGCATGGAGTTGTTTGTCTACCTCCATGCTGGTTGTAGGATGGCTGGCAATTAAAACGCAGTATCAAAACTTCCACCCGCCCGGAGGCCTGCACAGGAGGCTAGGAATAGGCTGGGTGCAGGCAAGAAAGCACATCGGTAGACCAGGTGGAAATCAACCAAACGTGAAATCAGCACAGCAAAATCGATTATTGATAAACATGTGATAATTTCACAGGGCAGATGGTTTGTAAAAGGAACAAAGTGCATGACGCTGTGCTATAAATCGCAATATTTAAGTTTTTTACTTAAAAGTTGGACACTTTTCCCCTGTATTGAGATCGCATTCTTGGTTAAAACAAGTTAAACATCTTGACAAAAGAACGAGATTTCAGGAAAGCGAAGTGCAAAGCAGCAAAGGGGCGCATATAATATAATGTCCAAACGCATATAATATAATGTCCAAACATGATTGAAAATGAGCACCATTTTATAATGGATTGTACACTATACAATGATAAGCGCCTATTGCTGTTCACCTTTCTTTCCGCTTGTTCAATTGATTTCAATACGTTAGATGCTATAGATAAATTCAACTACATTCTCAGGGGAGATAACCAATACAGTGTCCAAATAGGAAAATACATTAAAGAATGTTTCGATCTTAGAGACCACATGTTAGAGAATAGTTAACCTTTATTGTTACATCATACATATACTCTGTACGTAAGATGACGTTATCCACACATGTATGTAGCTTTGTTAGATCTTTAGTTAAGTTGTAGAAGACCATACAAAAGTCTCTGTACTTTTTTGTTGTGTCAATAAAGAATCTATAATATCATTACAAACAGAACGTTTTAGCCATATCTACATGGTCGTCTCCAAGGGCGATGACATCAGACATGGTCGCCTACGAACATATGCCCCATACTAGGGGTCGTTCCATAAAAATGTAAGGACCGGTCCGTCCAATTTCACGCGGATTTCACGGCCTATAGGCAGCTGGCTTTAGCCTCTAGCCAGAGGACTTGAATTGTACGAAAGTCCAAAGGTACAACTTCAACAAGGCTTCATCGGGTCAGTTTTCACCGTTCAAAACCTATTTTCACCCTTCAAAACCCAATTTTCACCCTTCAAAACTCAATTTTTCATCATTCAAAACTTAATTTTTCACTCTTCAAAACTCAAATTTTCACTCTTCAAAACCCAATTTTCACCCTTCAAAACTCAAATTTTCATCGTTCAAGACTTAATTTTTCACCCTTCAAAACTTAGTTTTTCATCGTTCAAAATTCAACTTTCACCCTTCAAAACTCAATTTTTCACCCTTCAAAACCCAATTTTCATCGTTCAAAACTTTTTTCACCCTTCAAAACTCAAAT